TTAATCTCAAAATATTTTTATTGTAGAGTGAGAAGATGAATGTACAAGAAAGAAGACTTCTCCAAGCAGTGGGCTTTATTTTATTTTCTAAAAATATCATCATCCTATTTTCTCCACAGTTTAGCAAGAAGTGTTATATTATTATATTTTTGCATAGAAAAACACGTCATGACTTTCCTGACAACCTACTACAGAGTACATCTTACCAAGTTTCAGAAATTGCTAGATTTTGAGGCAGACTTAAGTCCGTAATACTGATTTAAAAAAAAAAAATTAGAAAGCATTTTTTGCTTTGGACTAATTATTTAAAAATCTTATTTCCAAGAAAATTATGCATATAATTTAAATACTAACTACACTTACATACATAAGAATATCAGCAATATATATCTTTCTCTCACTTTGGTATCATAGGACTAGCATTGACTTTTTTCCTGCCGTTCTAAAGGTAACTAACTGTGGCCCGGGTATGGGGGCAGGGGTGAGCCCTGCTAGGATGCTGTGCTCTGAAGGCTGGGACCACAGGGAGGCATGGGATGCTGTGCTGGTCACAGTGACATGTTCTGTAATCCTGGGGACTCTGGAGACAGGAGAATCGTGAGCTTGAAGCTGGCCTGGGCACCAAAGAGAAACTAGGTCTAAAGAGCAAAAAGAAGAACAAGGGCTGGGGCGCACCCTGTAGTCCCAGTTGGTGGTTGAGGCAGGAGGATCTTGACATTGAGACCTTGTCTTAAAACAAGACAAACGTAACTAACTGTTCACTCTGGTACTTTTAAGCACCCCAGCACGTCCTTCTCGCACTTCACTTCCTTCAGCACTTCACTTCCTTCTCTTAGGTTGAACTTCTTGTTATTCCCAGAGGGCAGAATCAGAACTGGAAGCAGAATTGATTATTTTCAAGTTATCATAGCACCGTGGGCTTCTCTTGATGCCAAGTTTCAGCCAGTTCCTTTGATTTGTGAACAAAATGTAAAGAGTGCCCAGAGAGGGGCCCCAGCAGGTGATGTGGTGATAAAGAGTGCTGGACCCCCACATAGCTGGCCGTGGTTCAAGTCCCAGACTTGGTGACTTGCCTTCTCGCTTTCTCTCTCTGGCTCTCACTCTTGCTCTGGTCAATTTTACCACCCCACATCACTGCTCACTTGAAATTTAATGCTATGTGCAATCTGCCTATTGTATGTCCATTCAAAAATTCCCATTTTCTGCTAAAAGGAATATTCATAGACTTATATCGAAGTTGTAGGAGGGTGGCTAAAACAAAATTAGTCTGAACATATAAAATTAATCCTTTCAAACACACTAGACACTTAAATGCAATTGCATGCTAAGTAAAAGAATAATTAATCTTTCAATTAAAAAGTTATCTATTTTGAGCTGACTCTGTGGCATAGTGGTTAAGGCAGTTAGATTCCTCTTAGCTGACTGTGAGCTTCAAGTCCTGGACCTGGAGGCTTTCACTCTGAGAGAGAGAAATCCAGACAGAGAATGAAAAAGCAAGCTGCCAAGTCTGGGACTAGAACCATGGTTGCCCATGTGGGAGTCCAATGCCTTAACTACCATGCCACTTGCTGGCCCTCACTGCTCATTTTTGATCTAGATGGAAATCTAGTCTTAATATTAGGACTAAGAACTGATGGTTTAGTAGCAATTACAAAAAGAAAAATAAAAGTGGATAGTACATTGATTCAGTGGAACACAAATCAATTCTGCTCTTTTTAATAGGAAGTGATCAGTTACTGCACAAAACAGGGTTATCAGGAAAACTAGAATAATTGTGGATAGAAACTTACATAAGATTTAAATACTCATAAATCTAAAAAATTCAGTGAACATTCAGGTTTAATTGGTTAATACATGAAAATACTCGGTAATATTGGAGATAATTGTAGTATCTGAGGTTAATGTTGGTGTTGGACTTCTTTGAAGAGACTAACATTATCATCATTGTTTTATTTGCATAACAAGACAGCTTCACCAATGGCCATGCATTACCAATGGGGATACCCTCTGAGGAAGTCACACCATTAGGTGACTTTGTCAATGTGTGAACATCGTGGAGTGTAGAAACCTACTATGTGGTTTGTCTCTCACACATCTAGGCTATATGGTATAGCCCATTATATTCTTATGGATCCACCATCATATTTGTCATATTTTGTCGACAAAATATCATTACATGATTCATAACTATAGTTCTTACTTTTCAGTCTGGATTATATATTAATCTACTGAAAACATCTGGCTTTATGATATAACTAGAAAGATTACCAGAAATCTTGCAGGCTACCATCTGAATTCTCTCTTAAATAAAGTTTAAGTTACCTAAAAATAAGGATATATATTATGTAATTACCATGGGCCTTTTGGTTTCCATATTTTGAAAAGTAAGAGCATTGATACCCAAGCTACTCACCCATTGCTACCTCCTCAACTCAGCAGCCCAAACTCCCAAGTGATCAAAACCTGGAACATTTCTAAGAGTCTTTAGAAAAATAATAATATAAATATTTAAATTGTGTGAACTTCTAAGGCACTTTTAACTATGATCAGAAACATGTTTATGCTGTTTGCTAAAAAAAATCAATAATGTCTTTGAATGAAATATATGTTTAAAATATGGCTAAAAATCTTGACATCTCAGAAGCAGGATAAGAAGAGAAAAGGAATGAAGGAGAAAAATAGAGAGGCAAGACATTTATGGGACACAGAAATGGATTATTATCTGTTGATGATAACATGCATGACATCTTGAATTGGACTGGTGTGAAGTGTATTCATGTAGGGTAAATTCACTTTACAAGTTGTAGTGATATAGTGATGGAATGCATAAAATAAATTTTTAAAAATGTTTTTCAATGCATATTTTAGAAAAGTTTAAATCATAGAATTCCTATAATTTTAAAACTTTGTTATATAAGATTTGAAAATTTTCTATTTTAAAATGGTTTTAATTATACCAATTGCAAATAAGCATTCTCTAATGTGATTTTATATTTACAAACTAGTTGAATGACACAGGATCAAGAATGAAACATGATGGGACCAGCAGTTAGCATAATGGCTATGTCACTGGACTCCCATGTAGTCGACCGCTGTTCATGTCCTGGACCTGGTGGCTTAAAACTCACGCCGGGCACGTGTGCGTGTGTGCCCAAGGTCCCAAGAGGAGAATGGAGGAGAAGGGATTGTGGCATGGTCACCCCCCTGGGGGGGTGATTTCTCTCTTTCTGTCTCTGTCTCTCTCGGTCTGTCTGGTGAGCGCACGCGCCCTATAGCAAAAACGTCTTTATAAAAAAAAAAAAGAATGAAACATGAATTCATTAAACTTTCAATAAAATCACTGAATTATCCCTTGAGCTTGTTTTGACTTATTTTGGTTCTTTAAAAAAAAAAAAAAAAAAAAACTTTCAAAGTAGAATCATTCGATTTTACTAACAATTTGGGATTTGAGGAGTAGCTGAGCTTTGAAGAGGCAATCTCTAGCTTTCTTCAACTTTAATCATAAGCTACTGCTTTAACTCCAACATCACCTCTCCCCAATTCTGGATATTCAGATCCCACCCCTGTGTCTAGGAGGAGAGAGAGGAGAATTTACCACTCCAGAGGGGGAAAAAATCTTAATTCTCATTTGTGTTTGACAAAATGATAATCCATTATGAAAATATTTAAATAGTTGCAAAGACTCTTTCTAAAAAAAATAAATGAATAAATACCTTCTTCAAAACTTTTCTTTATTAGACTTTATTAGAGAATCTAGCTCAAGTGTGGAAAATTTAAAATCACTCTATTTACCAAAACTAGCTAACAATAAGCTTACTAGAAAGAAAACAACAATGAGCAGTAAAGATCTATGCTTAACAGTCTTAATTCTGGGACAGAATTTAAGATCCATGTTGATGTACTTGTAAGGTAAACCCTTCTGTTTAATAATAATAATAATAAATTCTCACATTTAATACATTGTTTTCACACTCATATATACATACAAAAGTTGGAAGGTGAAATAAAATCTAAATAAAAATTTTATTCCAAACACATTTCTCTATTTTAAATCACGTTTATTGTTTAAGTTTGTATCACAGTGGAGATTAACTGAAGCTTAATCATCCAGTCAGTGCATATTGTCAATGTCATCAAATTCCAAATAAGTGAAATCGACTCATTCATACACTCTAAGTCCTGTTACGATCCCACCATTCATTGCCTGTGTCTTTTTTTCCCTTTGAACGGCAACATTGATAAGATTGTGAAAAGATATAACTAGTAGACTTGTATGCATATTACCATTTTTTCAAGTATTCAGAGAGAAGTCCACGTGTCTCCACTGTATATTAGGAAACTACTTGTGACATTATCTCTAAGTATAGGAGAGTGGCTCCTGGTGGGAGTGTAATGAAGTTGAATGTCATAGTGTATGACAAGGATTTACAGCATTCTAGAATTTTCACAACTCTTCCATGTTAGTGAATGACATTAGGTAAATGTATTTTTCTACTCTCAGCTGTCAGACATGGGATTTCAAACTACAAATAAATAAAGCATACACTCAACATATGTAGTACAAATGCTAAGTAAACAGAATGACACGGGATAAACTTATAGTTGCCAACGGGTGAGACAGCAGGGAGGCCTTGATACTACGATGTGTGTGACTTGCATCCCTTTTCTCAAATGAATACTGTCACTGTTCCATGTCAGCCACTACGGGAAAAGGCTGTCGAGGCGGGAGCTGAAGAATGAGGAAGGAAGGATGAACGCATTCTCACAAACAACTGATAAAACTTTGCCATCACTTTCGTGTATCATGTAAAGTCTGATTTGCTCACAAGGTCTTGAACCTCTCCAGACAAAGCAGGTACCAATATGGAGAACTGCAAACATTCCACTTAAGGGAATGAAATGTTGGCACCTATGCGAGATAGATTGTGTGGTCCAGATGTAAGAGGCATAAAGAAGATGGTTTTGTAGAGTGAGAACTTTGGAAATAGAACACCTGAACGTTCAGAAGTTACATTTATAGAAAAGCCATGAGACAGTTACATAAACATTCAAACAATGGCCCCGTTTAAAAAAAAAAAACAAACAAACAAAAAAACAAACAAAAAAAACCACCACCAGCGGTACTCTTCAGTACTTTGCACAAACATCAGAGCTTTGTTGCTTTGTCTTCAGTAGGTATTTAACAAAATGCTGCATATTAAAATGAAATAGAAAAAAAAAACCTATAAAATTCTTCCTGAGGAAAATTACTGCAAGGGGAAAGGCAAAAGTCAAATGTGACAACCAATTTAAACATTTACTTAATTACATGGTTTTCCTCCAGAAGTGCCCACAGCCTGAACAAAAACGGAAAGCTAACATGAACAAACAAAACATACAAAAGATGGTGCCATTTAACTTTTTGCTTTCTTTCTCTGCATTCAGTTTTGAGGGAAAAGTGTTTTCCCCTGGTGCTTTTCTGAGTTCATACACATGAACTGCCAGAAGGGAACCATCTGGAGCCTCACCGTGTTTATACTTCATGTTGAATGTGCTGTACACTCAACAAATAGAACCAAGAGCCAGCTAAAAATGCTCTTCATTCAAAGGCACGCACATACACACCTACACATACACACAAACCTTATTAAGAGAAAAGAAAAACATTCCTTATCTGAGACACACACACATCAAGATTTAAAACTAAGGTCTGACGCGGTCACTTAACTGATTTAAATAATTAAGGCTTCTAAAAGGTTCAGTGCCCAAATTCTCTGCATTGGTATTCAAAGAAGATACATTTTTGCATTTTAGGTTTGTGCTTTGGACAGCCACCTTAATTCCACAGAATTTCATTAGTACGATCTGATAAGGAAGTGTTAGAATTGTTTACTGATGGTTTACTTTTAGTAGCTGTTAGACTAAATTGTAGCGATAAAAATTCAATGACTGGACAGATTTGTTCCTATCACGGGGCTGGTGGCTCATTTCACCTTCTTTTCGTGTTTGATATGGCCATTTCGTTTGTACTCGCCATTGACGATCCCATTGTGGTAATGTCCATTGACTGCGCTATGCTTATTTTTAGACCACACACTTTTGATTTTTCTGCAGATAAATTTTGTCACCCAGGACAAGAGGAAGTAAAACACGGCAGCACCAAGCAAAAGCACAATGGCAATATCCAGTAGAAAATACTGACAGAAAGAGATTTGGTGGACAGCGGCACGGAGGTGATGTGCTCCATTGTGACGAAGGATGTAGTCTATCCAATAGACAGTTCGATTGACGGGGTGGCCTGGTTGATCCTTGTGAATTTCTGAAAGCTTCTGGGCCCTCTGACGGTAGCTAAGGAGTGGGGGTAAAACAGAATCATCATGTCGAAGCATGAGCATCTGCATTTTAAAGCAATTTCCTTTTCCCCATGATCCGACCCATATGTGCCTCCTAAAGCCTTCTCAATGAATGCTTAACACCAGCAGACGTACGCTGCCATCCTTCCTGATAAGTCACTTTTTCGGCTTTTGTAAACTGCTCTCACATGACTCAAGGCTTATGGTTTTTTAGGTTTATGTGTTTCTCTGCCTTTATAAGCCTTCCTCCTCTCTGCTTAGGGGCTATGAGATTTTGGAGTGACTTGCGTTCTCCCATAGCCTCAGGCTTAATAAAGGCTTCTTTAATTTGGCTAAAACTGGATGTCCTCTTATTTTCTCACTGACTTGAACACAAGAGTGTCCATCCAAGTTTCTTATCTGATGCGCCTCTCCATTTATGAAAGACAATTCTCCAAGACTAAGTACCTAGCATGTTTGAGGTACCATGTTCAGGACTTTAAAAATAATCTGATGTGAACCCAATCGAATAAGTGGCAAACTGCTGAGGAAAACAAAACTCGAAGAGACTAAGTAACTTGATTATGATTATAAAGTTGAAATTCAGATTCAAGTTTTTCTAACTCTAAACCCTGTGCTTTTCAACACTACACTACAGGCTTTTAAATACTGTTAGTCAATGAGTCTCAGGGAATGAAGTTTGATTTTTTAAAAGAGATGGATGGAGAAAAAGACATAGAACTTATTTACCTCACTTGTTTAAAAAAAAAAGACACTGAATTTTGTCTTAAAATAACATTAATGAAGGTGTGATGATATTTTATTTATTAAACAAATATTAAAAAGGGTGGAGAAACACATTAACTATGAAGTCATATGTGGTATGTGGTATATATGTCCAAGTATCTATGCATGTACACATGTATAAAGAAAGCGCCCTCTTAACGTTTAATTAAAAAAAAAATTGGGACCAGCAGATGGCATAATGGTTATGTCACTGGACTCCCTTGTAGTCCATCATGGTTCAAGTCCTGGACCTGGTGACTTAAACTCATGTCGGGCACGTGTATGTCCGTGCCCAGAATCCCAAGGCGAGAATGGAAGAGACAGGATTGTAGTGTGGCCATGCCCAAAGTGATTTCTCACTTCTGTCTCTCTGTCTCTCTGGCCAGAGCACAAGCTCTAAAGCAAAAATCTCTCTCTAAAATAAATAAAGGGAGTAATCACAAAGAGTGATAAAATATAAGGTAAGTATTTTATATTATTTTTAAAATATGCAACTGCAAACTTGTGTGTCAGTCTCTGACATCTAGTCACTGCCTATTTAGGCATGGACACCTGATTAGAGTTACGTTGTTTAAACATAAATTCTACCTGGAGAGATTACAAAACATATGATGGAAAATATGGCTCTCGAACTGTACCTTCTAGAGGAATAAAAGCTTAGAGATGTGTGAAGATTTGATGGGACCAAGAAATAGTTGGAACTAAGTCAGAAAGGGTGAAGAGCAAGAATACAACCAAAACCAAATACTTCTGGAACAAGTGTGTATTAAGAGAGATGTTTAGTTAGAAACTATTAGGTTGTTAAAAAAGTCATGACATTTTTTTCATGTTTCTCTATGCAAAAATGCACTGTGACTTTTCCGATGGCCCAAAAGATTGGTAGATGACAAGTCTGGCTCTTGGCTGTTCTGGATGAGAACACATGCACCTTAGTTCTTAGAACCAAGGAGCCATTAGGTCAGAGAGAGACAGACTGTTAATCCAGAAAGGAAGACACTGATGATGGGGATAAGGTCATTTCAAAGACTGCACTAATGGCCAAAGAGAAAATGTCAGAAATGGTGGTGGAATTAGACAGAGTGGGAAATGGTGTAGAAGAGTAGGCAGGCTTTGGTGAGATAAGTGGTTAAATATCAAGGGAAAAGGAGCAGTCAGACGTAACCTCAATAGTTCTACAACATCGTGACAAACATGGTAGAAGCTATTAGTAGGACACAGAAACACAGCGCAGGGCATGCTGGGGAAATGGTCACAGGCAGGGACGTATGAAAGGAAAGGTCCAGAAAGCAGCTGGAGATGTGAGGTGGAGCTTTAGGACTGCAGTGCCTGATGAAAAGTGAGGACATGAGATGTGTATATGAAGAGTCCCCCAAAAGCTCATGCAAAGTGCATATCGAGAAAAACCTAGGCCTGAATTTCCAAAATTTTTGCACCAAAATAAACTCATACTTTAGTTCCATCATCTTTTATAATCTTTTGGGTGCATGTGCTCACTGGAGAGACAGAAACAGAAGCAAGAAAATTAAAAAATCACCCCACCACAGTCCCTTCCCCTCCATTCTCCTCTTGGGATCTTGGCCATGCGTGCACACTTGCCCAGTGTGAGCTTTAAGCAGCCAGATTCAGGACTGGAACTGCAGTCGACTATGTGGGAGTTCAGTGATGGAACCAGTATGCCATCTGCTGGTCCCAATTTTCACAATTTTTTTGAAGTCCTTACATACTGTTCTAAGTGCCAAAGTTGTAATCAAGATACTTGATCCTATAAGGAGCTGGAACAAGAGGGCTGTCTCTGACCCCATGTATTAAAGGCAGCATAATGAACCTCAGTTGACAATATTTTCTATACAAGCTGCTATCCTTTTACATAAAATAACTTTTCTGGCTGTTGGTTGTTCCTTAGAGTAGGACAGTGTTTCACAATCCAGTGGTAAGTCATATTCTCTAGATATAAAGAGAAAAGGCTTACACACTTCACATCCATAATACCATTTGAAATGCAAGAGAAGTTAAACGTGTCTACAAATGGGGAAAGCTGCTGTTTTGTTTGAAGACGATGCAGGTCAGCTCTCCACCTTTGATACTCATTTGTGAACTGGGTTAACTGAGAACCATCAAGAACTGAAAAGTGGGTTGACTCCATAGTGCCACAGTCAGGCACTGTACATTGGGAGCCAAATCCTACGTGGGCAACTAAAGTCAGAATCCCAGTTGGGTGGCTTGAATGACATCATTGTGTGTGTGTGTGTGTGTGTGTGTGTGTGTGTGTGTGTGTCTAAGATCATGATGGGCTGGAGAATGGAGGAGAAGGGATTCTGGACTGACCATGGAGGTGTTTTTTCTCTCTCTCTCTCTCTGAGTGCACATAACCTATAACAATAAAAGAGAGGGGGGGGAAAAAGAACTTAAAAAATAATGAAATAAAGATTCTGATTCACCATTCACTTGAAAACAATCCAAAGCATTGTAGCAATACCCAATTCCTGGGAAACCCAGTAGTACCCGGTTTACCAGGCAGTGCAAAGAGCATAGGCTTGGGAATCAGACACCTCTGGTTTCAAATTTCTATTGGAATAGCTGTGCAACTTTGGGAAAATTACTTAAGCTTCTGAATTTCAAGTGCTTCATCTCTATAATGTGGATAATGAAACCTGAGATATGGCTGTTATGAGTGTCAAAATGAAATGAAGGACACATTTGTCACACTGTAGGAACCTGATGACCATTCTCATTGCATTTTCTCCCTCAGTTTGGCAAATCTTGGTGGACTATTACTCAGGGTCATTAAATAGATGGCCAAATGATGGCTATGTTTGTTTACTATTATTATTCTTATTTAGAGAGAAATTTTTACTATAGGGCGGGCATGCTTGCCTGTGCTGGTCCCACTGTGTCATTTTCTAAATTATGGAAGACAAGCACAAGGGAGTTGCACGGAATTTAAAGGATATTTCTATAACTGGGTTTTGGACATTTTATTGGCATTAATAAATTGCTCCTGACAAGATGTCACAGCATGTGGATTTCATCTGCTTTTATATTCACGGAGATCTCACCTGGGATTATTGATGACACTCATCAGTGCTTCATACAGTTCTCCCTCGGTCACTGTCTTCCACTCCAGCAGGATCCCCATGCCTTTCGCCTGAACCCGGGTCATGGTATCATAGTGATCTCCGAAGAGTGGAATTCCCACTACAGGCACCCCATGGTACATCGTTTCAAAAATGCTATTCAAACCACCATGGCTCAAGAAGGCTTTAATATTTGAATGCCCTAAAAAGGAATAAAAACAGAAAACTTACAACATTACTACTCCAGAGAAGAGATTAAGAAATTCCCAGGCATTTCTTAGAGGTTGACATGAGAGTAAATATAACATTTCAGACATAGCATTTTTTTAAAAGATATTTTTGCTATAGAGTACCTACACTCATTGGAGAGAGAGAAAGAGAGACAGAGAGACAGAAAGCAAAATATCATCCTCCTCAAAGGGGATGACCACAACTAAATCCCTTCTTACCCATTCTCCTCTAGGGATTTTGGATATGCACACACATGCAGGTGGCGTGGTTTCAAGCCACCAGGGCCAAGACTTGAACTGAGGTTGGCCATGTGGGAGTCTAGTACCTTAACCACTACACCATAGGCTGGCCTCTAGATATTGGATATTTAAAAGGATAATTTAACTGATGCCTATTCTACATCAATTAAAATGTTTGTAATATGCATAATTATCCGATCTGTCTCTATCGATTACAAACCATTTAAGGTGGTTGAAATGTAGAGCTTTCAACCGTACATTATGACTTACTTTCAAACATATCCTGTAACAAGCAACATGGATTTAAGTGGCCAATAATTAATAGAAAACCCATGAAAGCAAATATATATATATATATACACACACATATATGCCAAACCATACCAACGTGCAACCACATAGACATCCACTCTCTGGCTACTCAAGCATTTATCTTTGTTAAAGTCAAACATACTTTGTTAAATTAAAAAAAAAAAGTGAAAATATAAGGCTGGGTTCCAGAAGTCCATGAAAATCTTCAGTGCTTATTCAAGAAGGGACACTGTACAGAAATCACCATTAATATTCAAGGACTAGAAGAACCCATGTTTCACAGTTTTAGGGTTTAATTCAGACAAAGCATCGTGTGACACTAGTTGTCCTGGCAATAAAAGAGAGCATCTGTCAAAATTACTTGAAGCATTTCAAGACTCAGATCTGTGCCATGGTGGTACACATAGCTACAGTGACACACAGATGGCACCACTGTGTGGAGGCTGGAAGTCACGGGGGAGGCACAGGTTGATTCCTGGGCCAATGTGCCTGCAATCCTAACTAACTGGGAAGCTGGGGCAGGTGGAGCTGACACAGTGAGGACCTGTCAGAAATACCTGTCTCTGTTTCCCTTTCCCTCTCTTTCTCCATGAAAGAAAACAACAACAACAACAACAAAAATTAATACAAGTTTGTTCTCCTAGTAGACAGCCTACATTTCATAAATAGGAACCGGGGCCAGCAGGTGGCATCGTGGTTAAGGACGCTGGACTCCCACATGGTTGACCATAGTTCGAGTCCTATACCTGGCAGCTTGCTTTCTCACTTTCCCTCTTTCTCACTCTGTCCCTCTCTGGTCAAATTAAAAATAAACAAAATATAAAATAAAGTTAAATAAAAATAATTCTTTAATAAAAATAAATAGGAACTAAATATGTAAGTATAAGAAAAATAAACTCTGCACTTAAGAAATGTGTTATTGGCCAGAAAGGAAGTACAGCTGGCAGAAACACCCATGTTTTAGAGATGCACAGGTACATCACTGACTGCATGGGGACCATGGTCTTCCTCAGGCTCCGGGAACTCTCCCACCCCCAAGTCTAGGGGGGCGTGGTCAAGTCAAGCCCTTACCCACAAGCATCATCTTAGCATCTCAGGCCTGATTGAAGGATCTACATTAGAAGTACATTTCAAACTTTCTTTTTAACAGCAGAACTCTTTCTTTGAACAAAATTATTTGTTGATGATCATACGTATGGTAATATTTTAACTGAACCAATATATAGTATATTCAGGATGGGAAAATTCATTTGGTATGTGGTAATAATACACAGTGATTGAATGTAAAATAAAATACATAAGAGAGAATAAAAAGTTAAAACAACAACAAAATACTACCAAGTCCAGCACTGCAAAAATGAAGCAGGGCAGGTGGGTATGAGTATGACTGTGTGTGTAGGGAGAGGGTAGTGTGGAATGAGGGGACGACATGACATTGATCTAGATCCTACTTCTCGTCCTGGAGGAAATCTGATCATAATATGAAAACATTAGAGGAGCCACAGAAGTCATGCCTAGAGTTAAAAAGATACTAATCTTGGAAAAGCCGGCAAGCTCACGAGGAACCCAGAGGAGCTTTGCACTTGAGAAGGTTGTTCAAGTGTGAACCAGAATAGGTATATCTTGTTGCAGAGCCTCAAAATAAGGGAAACAAAGCAAACAAATGATAAAAGTTGAGAGGTTCCTATATAAAAGCCTGTTGTACTGAGAGAGCTGGAGATTGATTTAGGTTCAAATATAATTAAAAGCATATAGTAAACCCCCCCCTTTTTTTTTTGAGTTGAGGATCAGAATCCCAAGAAATAAATAAGTGGAGAAAAATAAAGTGCATCAAAAATGCATTCTAATAAATAAATAAATAAATAAATAAATTAATTAATTAATTAATTAAATTAAAATGCCTGGTGACTTACAAGGAAACTGAGGCACATAATTCAATTAAAATTACAATAAATAGCTTGGCTGGAGCGCTACTGTCAGCGAAGCCCCTTTGTGCGATACTGGAGCCTTATCGGAAGTCCCTGGGTTTGATTGCCATCGACCTCAACATACCAGGGGCCTGTGGACTTGCCCATGATCCTGGCTGGCTGGAAGGCAGGGGAAAAGAAATAATGCTGTGAGAGGACCTGGCCAGGAGTCAGTCTCTCTCTCTCTCAAACAAGTAAAAAGAAAAAAAATGACCATACTTCTACTGTATCTTTGGCTTTCTGCTTCTCTTTGGTTACAGTCAAATAAATAACTTCTAATTTCCTTGGGTTCTCAGATGCATCTGTAATAAGACTCTAACACAAATCTACATTTCCATGATCCTAATTGTATTACTCTTATCTAATTAGCCTAGCCAGGTGTAACTTTCTTCACTGTTAACGTATATAGTTTAGTAAGTATTTTTCCAGATAGTTAAAACTGATGTCGGTTTAAGAGTTCTAATTTATCTGCCCAAATGATTACACTTTCTAATTTTTTCTCAACAAATAAAAATATGTGAAATGTTAGCTAAAACATAAGACTTGAGAGAGTGGATAAAAGTATAATGACTCTATTATAAATTACACACATATTGTACGAACCACTCAAGTAGAAAAGTCACGTTTTTATATAATTAAAATGTAACAGCCAGTTAAGTACCCACATGTCACTGACTTACCGAGCAGATCATTCTGTGGTAACCATTCTATGAGTTTAGTGTTGTTTCCTAGGTTCTTTGGTTTGGGTCCAGAAAACCTAAAATATATACCAGAAAATGAATCGTTCAAAAAAACAAATCTTACTCATGGTATGGACTCTCTGGTTAAATGATTAGATTTGAAATAAACGTTACATATTCTTTTGTTGATAGTCTTTTTTTTTTTTTTTCTGGTGACCCTGTTTTAGTTGTCCTTCCCCCACCAGACCCCCCAGGAGAACCACAGATAAACAGTATGCAGTACAATAAAAGATAAAACCAATTTAAAGACTGCGATGCCATATGCTACATTTGCCCTAATTGTATTCCTGCTTTTTGAGATGGGGAAGAGCTCATTCAGTAAAAACATCCAGTAAAAACAAACTATGTCTTAGCAGGTACAACTTTTTCAACTACAATAATGATGTACTTTAATTACTTTCTTGTATACAAGTCTCACATCACAGGTTTTGTTTTCAAAAAATAAACACAGTTAAGACTTCTAGGAGCATTTTATAATGAAGTATTTCCTCGTTTTTCTTTCTAAATAGATCAAGCACCTCCAAAACACAAGTTCCTATACCCAGTGAACACTTTACTTAAAATGAACACTTAAGGAAATTAAGTACGTGGACAGCCTTAGGATGAGCCAACATCATATATTCAGCTAGGTAGGAAACAAACCATAGCGCCAAAAGGAAAAAGTGTATTTGCAAATATTTTTTAAATGAAGTTAACTTTTATAATTGAATACAGAATATATATTGCTCTGCTAAAGTAAATGTGATATATTAACACTTCACTATTAAGAATGCACACGAGGACATTTATAAACGGTGAATGAGTCATATTTAAGGATAACTTACTACAATAAACATTGGCTAAATAGAAGTGCATATTATGAAGCTCTAGGGTGGTCTATGTTTTGCCACATGCTTGTTACCTTGAGGTAGAGAACACATGCATACCAAATTTGGCATTTATTTTCACTTGCTGCTGGTATCATATTCTTGAGAACAAACCATGTTGTAGTAACAACAAAAGTGCATTCAATTTCTTTTTAATCACAAAACTTTCATTGATTGAGGGATATGTAGGAAATGAGGTGCTTCTATAAAGATCTACAGGGTTAGCAGGTGTCATGGTTATGTTGGATCTCTCATGGCCAATTGCATAGTTCCAGTCCAGGAACTGTCAGCTTGGAAAACATGCCAGGTACATGTGCATGCATGCCCAAAATCCTGAGAGAAGAATGGACGACAAGGAATTGCAGCATAGCCATCCCCTCTTGGGATGATTTCTCAAACTCTGTTTCTTTCTTTCTCTCTGCTGTGACTGTATGTGCCGGAAAGAAAAAAAAAAAAAAGATCTGCATTCCATAGGCTACTTTCAGCTATACACAGGGATGGGAAAAAGAAAGAAACCAAATAAATTTATATCAGAAGTCATTCTCATCAATGCCCAGAAGCTTTTACATGAAGGGGCAGGGAGGGCACCACTGAACAGTCCATAGCCCTAATCCTTGGCACTCATGCCCTAAGGAAAGGCACAAGAATTAGAAGTAGAAAAGATTCTTCTTTGGTTTGACCCCCAGAGATAGGAGTTCTGCAGAGAAAGGTCATAATTAGACTTTTACCTGCTTGATTTTCTTCTTTTGAATTTTTTTTCCCTTAGGGCAAGTGCTCTCACCAGAGAGAGACACACACACAGACACAGTGAGAGGAAAAGATAAATCACCCTCCCACCCCCCTCCCAGGATGATTTCTACAATCTCTTCCCCTCCATTTCCCTCCTGGGATCTTGGGCATGTATGCACACATGTCTGGTCTGATCTTTCAACCAGAGTCTGGGACTCGAACTGTAGTTGGCCATGTGGGAGTCCAACAACATAACTACTAAACCCTTTGCTAGTCCCTCCTGCTTAATCTTTAAAGGATAAACCATAAAGGTTCTTAACAACTAAAAGAATGAGAAAAAGTCTGAACTGTGCAAACACACGGTGTATTAAGCAAAGCCTAAGAGGGTGCTTTCTACGGTACGCCTAATAGAGGAAACCCAACAGAATTAAATCTAGAAGGGAAAGTCCCAAACGGTTAGAATATAATATAGCAGTCCTCCCTTATCTGCAAAGGATACGTCCCAAGACTCCTTAGTGTATGCCTAAAACCATGGATAGTTCCAAGCTGTAGATAGATAATGTTATTCATCTGATGCCGAGATGCCTCCTAAGTGACTAACTGAGGAAATGGGTTGGACGGGAGTGGGGTCAGGGGTCCTACCATATGTGTCCGTCTCATACCTCAGCCAGAAGTGGGAGTAAATCCTTATACAGTGGCTAAAAAGGGAAAACCCACATCACTCAGAGTCTACTTCTAATGGCTCGGGAGATACTCTCCCCTAATCGTGGTAAAAGCTGTGTGGCTAGGCAGGCTCCAGGGTGCAGTGGCCCTGCACTGCTCCAGAGAAGGTGGATCCCACATGGCAAGCATGGGTCAAATCTCTGTCCCAGTGACCCTGAAACACACTCAGCACATACACAGGTGCCCAGGATCTGACTGGCTGGAGGACTGGAGAACGACTGCAGCACCGGCAGACCCCATGAGGGGTGCTTCTCTTTCTCTCACTCTCATGTGTGCGTGCGTGTGCTCCATCACTAATTTAAAAAGAAAAGAAACAATGGGGCTGATGTTGCTCACTACGGTATCCCCAGAGCCTAATAGTGGCAGCAGTTCCTAAATCAATACAAACTAAATAACACCTGCAAGTCTCATTTTAAATGGTTGGAAATTCCAAAGACAGACACATGTTGGCCATGCCTCCTAAAAGAACCTGAGATCAGTCTATGGGTCTGCTTTAGGGTTAACTAGTTAAGTTATTGTATTGTTCTAGAGGTTTTTGCCTTAGGGCATGTGTGCTCCCCAGACAGAGAGACAGACAAAGTGAGAGAGAAAGTGAGAAGTCCCTGGAGCGGAGAGGGAGTGGCCATACCACAATCCCTTCTCCTCCATTCTCCTCCCGGGATCTTGGACACCTATGCATACACTCCTGGAACGATTTTTAAGTTTCTGGGACTCATATTGTGGTTGACCATGTGGGATTCCAGAAACATAACCACTACATCATCTGCTGGTCCCAAGTTATTTTATTTTTAAAGACCTGGTCTCTTGAGTAAAAGAAAAGAAGCATTTGTAAAAAAGACAATGCAGGAGTCCAAAAGAATCCAGGAAATATTTAATTCACCCATAGTTCTCTACTTCATTCCAAACTGCTTTGAAGGGGTATCTAGAAAGGCATGCGATAACAATTGAATATTTTAAAATGAAATTAATACTAGAAGAGTAACAAAGGTAGAAAAAAATCCAACAAACAAGAATATACTATTCCAAATTTTTTCTTTCTTTTTCAATCTGTGGAATGGCACATGCATTCGCCAGAGAGAGAGAGACAGACAGAATGAGAGAGATGAAAAGTGAGAAAGCAGCCCACAGGGCATGGTCATGCAGCAATCCTTTCTCCTCCTTCTCCCCTCTGTCCTGGTTTCTGGTCATGCATGCACATACACTTGAACCATGCACTCAGCCCTGAGAGATGCAGCCACCTTAACTGCCAGCCTATAGGTTGGACGTCATACCTTTGTTCTGTACTGTAGACCAGCGGTCTCTTTATCCATCATAGAACCTTACGAATTAAATCCTAGACGTCAATCCACTAAGAAACAAAATAGAAAGTCACAGCTGTCCTGCCAATCTTGCCAAGTTGTCAGCATGCTGTGCTGTCCTGGGATCTAAGGGGATACTGAAAATCAACTGTAAAGAAATGACCTGTAGTATTTATTACCTTACCTCCAGATCACTTTCTGAGGCAATCTCCCCAGAGCTCCTGCCAGTTTGTTAGCAATGTCTTCTGACAGATACTTGACACCAGCTCCAAAAGATACCAGGACAAAGCCATGTTCATTAGCACCATTTACCCACCTTTGGAGATCCTGTAAACCAAACCGGCAGTTAATTGGATGAAGACCAATATAGTTCATAGTTAGTGTCACCAACAGCCCCCTTGTAAAAATGCTTTAGGTAGTTTTCTTAAACAACTAGAAAGTGAAGAGTAGAACCTAGCCTAGGAATAAAGTTCATGGGAAACCAAACTATAGTTTTGGAAGTCACATGGTTGACTGTGGGTTCGAATCCCCAGGTCAGCTTGCAAACATAAACAAGTGTGTGCATGGGCACCCATGATTCTGAGGAGCTGGAGGGTTGGGTTTCAAGATCCTTTGTAGGGGGTCCTCGCTCCCCAAAATATGCACATACATGCTCTCTATCGTAAATAAAACTAAATAAACTTAAACAAATAAAAGACGAATATATGCTATTTCCCACTAAGTAACTGTTTTTGTTTTAAAATATTTCATCTGATAATGCTAACTGAAATGAGATAAATGCTTTATTTGGTAAGATCTTTATAAGTAACAACCAGAGAGGCCAGTAGCTAATGGTTTAAAAATTCAGATACAGAAAAAAAAAAGTAACTGAAACTGATACATAGAGATAAATTTATTTGCAGATACGAGTGAAAGATGTGGATAGAACATATAACAAATCGATCATCCTACCAAAAATTTGCAAATGTGTTTCTGACAAATCTTTGCCAGAATAGTCCATTTTATTTTTTCAAATATTTTATTTAACTTTATATTTTTATTTATTTATTATTTTTATTTTGACCAGAGAGGGACAGAGAGAGAGAGAGGAAGTGAGAAAGCAAGCCACCAGGACCAGGACTCAAACTATGGTTAGCCATGTGGTAGTCCAGCACCCTTAAGCAATACACCACCTGCTGGCCCCACGAATGGTTGATCTGCACAGGAGATGAAAGCTCGTGTTGAAAGATAATCCGCTGTATTTTATTCTACAGGCACAAGCTTATTTTTCCCTTTGAATAAATCTTTGCTAAGGACACCAAGTTTCAGTTTCTCACATGAAAACTAATAGTGCCATGGCACTTTGAGAGACACGTAATTCTACCATGAGGACAACAAATGTGTGTCCACTGAGGGTAGCTGTGCCACAGCGCAGTGACAACAGGGGCCTGGCCCTTTCTGTATTAACAATGTGCAGGGTAGCTGCCATGGTGACTTCTCACAGGCCCTGCAGGTCTCTGGCTCAGGACAAGTGAGTGGTTGGAATGGTGTCACTCGGTTTGGGCATGTCCACTGTGAGCCTCCTCTGGTCTGCAGCTGAGGAGACTGTTCAGTACGCTCCACACAGCGCCATCACCACGGCGCTGGATGATTTAAGTGGAATGTGGGCATAAGATCTCGTTCCCTGTTTCTTCCCCTCCTCTCATTCTCCACGTGTGATGTAGTGAGATTTGCATGAACTGGCTCTATCACAATCACTGAGTGTGGAATGGGGAACCACATTTTATGCTCCATATGAATTAGTAAATAGTGTCACTACACAACCAAGAGTGACGTCGAAAAGAGGATACGTCTTTCTAGCTGTTGAGTGAAATGGCTGTCTTTATGAGGTGGGAAAGAATCCTTACCAACACATCTTATCATCCAGTAAACTCTGTTTACTTATAAACAGATAAAAGGGCCAGCAGGTGGCAGGGAGGTTAACGTGCTGGATCCCATGTGGCCGACTGGATAGTCTGAGTCCTGAAACCAGCAGCTTGAAAACCACGCTTGGCACGATTTTTGTGTGTGGGGCCCAAATCCGAAGAGGTGAATGGAGGAGAGGGACTGCAGCATGTGGTCACCCCCACAAGGGTGATTTCTCACTTTCCCTCTTTCTCTCTCTGTCTCTTTCTCTCTGGTGAGCACATATGCCCTATAGCAAAAACAAAACAAAACAAAATAATAAAAACCAAAAGGAATAGAGGCTTTTATTGACTCCAAATTAAACTGTTTTTAAAATATTTACTTAATTTTATTTATTATTATTATTATTATTTTTAATTTGCTATAGGACATGCACGTTTTTGAGAGAGAGAGAGAAAGAGAGAGAGAGAGAAAACAAGCCACCTAGCTAGTCTGGGACTTGAACCATGATCAGCCATGTGGGAATCAAATAACCTTAACCACCATGCCACCTGCTGGTCCCCAGGTTAAAACTTTTAACTTGGGATCTCTGTCTCTGGGGAAGTATATGAACCCCATGGCAAAATTCTAAAACAAAAACAACAAAATTTTTAAATTTATAGTCTGCAACATTTACCAAGAATATTACATGTGCTAAAAATTTAATGGTATTATCTGTGAATGCAAAGTTAAAAACAAGAACAAGCCAATTTGCCATTTTAATTTTATGTACAGTTTTAAGCCAGATGTAGTGAAGATGAATACAAATGCTGCACAGTAGAATGATTTAAACACATATGGTATATCATCCCACAGTTTGTCTTCAAATAATTGATCATCTACTACCTAGTTATCTAAAGATGTTGAACCTTACAAAAAGTTTGCATCAGATATACTAGGTCTCTTGATAATAACATTATTTAAATTTTGTTTCAAAAGGACATAAAAGTTCTCTGAGTTTTTAAAAATTATTCACTTTTTATTAGTATCATTTTATATATGAAAGAGCTGAAGAGATGAAGGGGTGTTTGAGTATAACTGACTTTATGGAATAAATACTTTTTAAGTTGTTTCTTCTTTGTTTTGCATGATATAAAATGACATCTATAAACCTATCTTTCCAGCATTTTCCTAACACATTTATTAATCATAGCAATAACATCTTTAAGTAAATACATAGCTTTTACTGAGGTGCAGGAGTATAGAAAACTACCTTCACCATAGTTTCCTTGAGGAAAAGTGCTCAGTATTTTTAGAAACTAATATATTAAGCTTAGAAGAGGCAGAGGGCCCAGGTGATATCAAATGTTCCATTTTCTTGAGTGGAAGTAGAAGAACACAGGTGACAGGCTGGAGAGGACACTGGGAGCAGGGAGGCCACCTGGCTGCTTCTGGATGTGACCCTGCCAACAGCATTTCTAATCTTCAGCCTACTTCACAAGATGGGTGGTGTGGTGGATGGTCCAAGAGAACAATGAAGGGGTAAGGTTTTGAATTGGCTGACAAGGGTGACAGGGGGAATGAACACAGGAACCAGAAGATGAAGAGACCTTAAATGCACTGGACTCAGGCTAAGATTTTATAATCTGAACTTCTTGAAAAGCATGCCTACATTTCCAATGGGCTGGAAGACTCTGAGATCAGCTCTCCTGCATAATGAGGGGATTGTAGTTCTCCCCATCACCCCAATTCTCTCCAGGTGTGGCTGTCCAGTGGAGCCAGGAAATGGAGTGGGCAATACAAGAGTTCAACTGGGCAAGCAGCTTCTCCAACATTATGACATTCCAATAATTTTAGGTATTATTTTGATGTGACGAGTGTTGAGAAATGAAAGATGGTGAAACAATAGTAAAAGAAAGAGTGAAAGCAATATCTGTAGACTTTTAGAGAGAACAATCAGTGGGCAATTCTCTTTATATATTTAGTCCTTGCCCCCAGACACTTCCTATTTACTCTGTAAAACAATTTGATTCCAGAAATATGTATGTGACTTTTACAAAATAACTCCTTCAAAACCAATGGAGAGTAACTAATGAAAGTCTGGATGGTGCAGATAAACCTCTAATCTCACTGGGCTTGATTCTGAGGACATCAGACCTCTGGAGAGATCCTTGACAGGTCTGGGTCTGGGGACAGATCAGATCCGTTCTGTTGGTAGCCTGTGACCCAATCTACTTCTTTCTCTCCTCCTCAAATAAGCGTCTTTAGAGAGGTTAGTGCAGTTAAGAAAGCAGTATCGGTGCAGGGGTATAACACGACACAAGGCTGACCCTTGTGGGATGGTTTCTGGTTCGTGTCTGGAGACCTCCCTAAAAATGTCAGGCACTGTGCATACCATGATCTGTGGTTGGCTGAAACTGGGAGTGGACCATGGCACTGGGCCCAGGTTGGGGTGCTCTTTCCCCTTTTCTTTCTGCCTTTCTCACTTATAGAAGAAAAATTAAATACCACAACACCCCCCCAAAAAAAAAAAAAAAAAACAGGAAGAAAGGAAGAATCCAGTAACAGTGCATCTTTTGTCAGTCCCATTCATTCTGCGGCAAAGAATGCCTGGACTGTGAGAGAATCTGAAACAGAAGATGATGCTGGGTGCTGAGCCTCCTCTTTTGTGCCCAACTCCAGCATCAGTAAACCTCCTTTCCCATTTTTTCCCCTATAAAAAAAAAAATTAAAACCCCAAACCCCCCCCCAAAAAAAAAAAAAAAAACAGGAAGAAAGGAAGAATCCAGTAACAGTGCATCTTTTGTCAGTCCCATTCATTCTGCGGCAAAGAATGCCTGGACTGTGAGAGAATCTGAAACAGAAGATGATGCTGGGTGCTGAGCCTCCTCTTTTGTGCCCAACTCCAGCATCAGTAAACCTCCTTTCCCATTTCTCATGTGTCTGATTCAAGAATGTTCTTGGTGAGGTGAGTTACCAAGAATTGAAATAGTCATTCTGCAAAATCTAGTAGTAAAATAATAAAGATTTTGATACATTTTAAAACACATCTTGGGATATCAAACATGATTTCTGACTACTGGTAAGATATTTAACCAGAATTTATTTAAAAACACAATACTACTGAAAATATAAAAGCAAAATGTACCAATCATTGCTTTTCTTGATGTGTTTGGAGAGCTTTACTTCAAACTGCAAGACCATGATTTTCTGAGTGGTCTTAATCAAGTCACCTACTTTCTCAAAAGCCAGATTTCTAATCTCTGACAATGCTGATAGTACTTCACAGGACATTGTGAAGATTCACTGAGATCTAATACATAAAAAAAATGCTTCATTAACTAAAAATTATCTTTTACCACCCTCTAGCTAGGATGCCTGTTAAATAATGTACAGATGGGGGCTAGAAGGTGGTGTGATGGTTAAGATGCTGGACTCCCACATGGCTGACCATGGTTCAAGTC